AAATTTTTTGAGTACAACTCCGACTTAATTGAATGTTTTGTACATGCACGTGCAATACCAAGTAATTTTACTATCGGAGTCGGAGTCGCGATATTTTTTAGCGACTCCGACTCCGGTAAAATTGTCGCAACTGCAACAAAAAAGTGCAGGGAAAAAACTAAATTCATAAAAGTTTTTAGAGCAAGCAGGGACAGATACAGTAAAAGAATGAGACTTTGCTGAATGACAAGACAAGCAAGAATGAGATTCAATTGATGGAACTTCTTTGAGCAGCAACCATGATAGTATTTGTAAAAAAGAGAAAGAGAAGAAACTTTATAACGATGGTAGAGAATCTCAAGTTGGCAGATAGAGTGGGTTTAACTATGTTTACAATGCATTTTTGGACCTTGTCTAGAAGAGAAGGAACATCATTAGAAGAGCTTAAATGATGACAACAGTATTCCATACAGGGGCAAAAAGAGTTTTGTAGAGGTAGAGAATGGATTGAGAAGTAAGAAAATGGCGATAAAGAAACTGCAAGTGCAAAAAAAGAAATGTAAAGAAAAGCAACTTTAGCAGATGCTAATTTAGCAATTGATGTTGGAAACCAATATATGGTTTCCACAAGTCACAAGATGTAAAGAAGAGTGAGAGTGTTGCCATATAAGAATATCAATATAAAACTGTCAACAGTTGTTGACAGTTGCAATAGTTGTTTTCTGTAAATAACTGAGCTTTGTTGGAGTTAAAATTCACAAGCCACTGCAAGCTCCAATCTGTTACAGAAGCGAAAATGGATTCATAATTTGGTGCCTGTTCTAAGGGATCAAAAAGAAAAGACATTTTGTCAAAACCTTTGAGTCACAGTAGTTAGTAAGTCAGCCATCAGCAAGAGAATCAAAAACCGTTTTGATTGTCAGACAGTAAGCTCTTTGACTCAAGAACGGATGTTGTAAATTTGTTGATCAAAGAATCAAAGACCTTGCTAATAACAGATAGAAAACTGATTGGAAAATTTTTGGAGGGTTTAAAATGTTCTCGATTCACACCCCTTGTACAACCACGCTTATAGTAAATTTTTTAGACAACTTGACCACGTTTTTATTTAGTAAGCGTTTTAGGAATTCGCACAAAATAAAGCTATAAGAAACTAGAGAATAAATCAACAATAATCAAAGAAAATAACTGATTATACAAAATAGAAAATCTTAATAAAATAGGTTTAAAAAAGTTTATTAATGAGAAAAAAAAAAATGTTGTCAAAAAATAATATACCTAAATATTTACTGTTTTTTCTTTTTTTAGAGTATTTGTTATTTTCCACTACCATAATTGGTACAAGTTGAGGAAAAAAGTAGATATAAATATATCGAAAACAAAAATATTTGTTGATATACAATTTTTTTGCAACTTTTTTCAGTCAGTATGTTAAAGGGATCCCCAACTGCCGAGACAATTTGTGTTCATATTAAAGAAAATGTTTAAAAAAACATTTGGACTAAATTTTTTTGATTGAAACTAAATAATGAATGCATACCAACAAAATTAAAATTATCGTTTTAGTCGAAGCTCGCCTTCTCCATTTTTTTTTTGGTTCTCGGAGTCTGTATAATGTTAGCTGCAATCTGCAAACTTGATAACTTATTCTATGCGTTTTTAATTCATAACAGTTTTGGTATATGACGTCATCACAATATCTTTTTAAGTTAGCGTTTTATTTTTGTTGTTGTTTTTTTTTAAAGATATAAGTATTTTTTTGACTACAATCAAAAAATCAAATATTTGTATAATTTTTTGCTAAATCACAAAAAAAATTTTGTGATTTAGTAAAAAATTATGCGCATATATGTATACATATTTTTACATTTATAATTTTTTTTACTTGCTTTATTATTACTTTATTTTAGAAGCCAGCCAAAATCATGACAATTATACATATTTTGAGGTTATTAGAGTTGGCAGGCAGAGAAAAAATAAAGGCAGTATGATGCAATTTCTTGTTTTATATTTAGTTTATATGGTTTAATAGAGTTGTTCGTTTTATGTTTAATTTACATTTAGTTATGGTTTAACTCTTTCACTACCGCAAGCCTGGTACTGGTAGCAACTTTTAAGTATGCTTTACAATTTATCTTGTTTTTTACATTAATTTATAGAATTTGTTTGTTCTAAAGGTTCAATTCATTCTCTACATAATCAAGAAAAAATAAGAGCTATATTGTGTAATTATAAAAATGTTATTGCAAAGTTAAAAAATCTTGAATAAACCTTCATAAAAAAAACTTCTTTAAATTTACTTATAAAATAAAACAGCGTTTAACACTGTTGTTAAACAAACTTGTAGGAGCATTAAGTATTTAGTTAAGTAATTACCAAAGTCTTTTGAAGAAAAACTATACTTTTTATTCATTAAATGAGGTTTGTTTCAGACTTGATGTTTTAGTTACTACTTATAAAAACAATAGTTTTAAGCACTTTTCTTATTGTTTAAAGATGTGTGTTAAAAACTTTATTATAATCAAATTTTAATTAATTATCAATGTTATGCCATTCAAATTTTATTCAAAAAAATGTGCGGTTGCTACTAAAAGATTTTTGATCGGCTGGTGGCAAACAAGTTAATGCGATTCTTCGTTTTTATATTTATATTATAACTATTATTCTTTAACAACATATTATACATATATTCGTTTTACTTTAATTTAATTTGATTTGTCTGTTTATTAGTAAAATAATTTGTTTAATAATTATTTTCTACTTAGTTCAGTTAATATGTTTTATTCAAGTCGTTCGTTTTTTATTCAGTTTAAATTAATTTAAACGCTTAAGTAAAATTATTCTTTTAGTATGTAGTTTATATTTCGTTTAAACCAGTACATTTTACTGTAAATATTTGTTATATAATAAATTTTTATTTTTATAAATTTTATAAATTAATTTCTAATTGCATCACAAACTTTTTTTTTGGGATTTAGTAAAAAGTTATATTCAATTAAAATGATTTAGTGATTGTGGCAAAAAAATAATACAATATCTTGAAAGAAAAAATTTATATGATGATGAGTTTTGAGACAACGAGTTTTGACTAAAACGTGAATTTTAAAATAATGGTGTGCATTCATTATTTAGTTTTAATCAAAAAAATTTAGCCAAAAAATGTTTTTTGTTAACATTTTCTTTATTATGAACACAACTTGAAAAAAAGTCAAATACAGCAAAAACTTTTTTAAAAGTGAAACGACATAAAAATGAATAAACGAAATAAACAAATAAACATAAGAAGAAAAAAAATTAACAAAACTTCTTTTATAGTTCTAGCGTACATAGCAAATTAGTTTCTTAATTAGATGGACTGATAAAAATCGTGAATAAACTACATATCAAAATATTCAATTATTGTTTTATTTCAATTATTTCAATTTTTTTTTTCTAAGTAAATAAGTTTAGCTTTTTGCTGTGAATTATTGAAATGCTTTTTATTATAAGTTAAAAGGTGCAAACTGCCGTGGTCAGTGTGTCTAAAAAAAATTATTTGAGACATGGACATACAAGGCGTGCGACTGCATGCCTTTCAAGGAAAGATTGATATAAAAGAACTTTTTTAGTTTAATTTCAAGCAATAATAAATTGTACTTGTAAAAAAGATGAAAAAAATGACTATGATTACATGGTTTTCACCTTCTTGCAGCCTCCAGCTGCACAAGAAGGTAAAAACCATGGAATAAAATGAGGCTTGACTTGGAACCATCCAGAAGAAATTAAAGCTTTCATTACTGTCTGGATTCATGAGGTTATGTTGGAGGCGAATTTATCAACCAAAATAGAAAAGAAATCACCTCAAAGACCACAAAAAAAAAACATGAAAAAAATGCCCATCAACTTTAGAGTAGCAGCAAGTAGTTCGATGATAAGTTGAGTCTGAAGAAGTATGAGATGAAAGATAATATAGTGATTATTGTATGGTCAGGACCACCTAAGGGAGAAAAGCAGAGATAAAGAAAAAGGGAATGGTCAATTAGATCAGTCTAAAACATCTAAAAGAGTGCAGTTTTGAGAAGGATAACCATAAAGAACAAAATGAAAAAAAAAAGATCGGAGGATTCAAACTTTATTTCTCAACAATTAATGTGTAAGTAACAATTAATGTGTAAGTATACCCCCAGCTAAGCATGTGACTATTGAATCCAAGGATAGTACCATTAATACCTAGATCTAGAAAAAAAACATTCAAATTTAAATTACTCTTACAAAGAGCAAACAAAAAAGTATTTAATCAAAGTTTTTTTTAATCTTTATTGCTTTTCACATTTTTACTTCCAATACCATTCTTTACCTGATTTCATTCTCTTATCCACCCTTCTACTGTTATTATATTTGGACTGGTTTATCTAATGATACCCTTTTTTAGTTAAGTTAGTCCCATTCATCAATATTTTTTTGCTTTGGAATTTTTTATTATCTTCATGCTTGCCTAAACAGTTTTTTTAAAGTTTCCTGTTTCTGTAAATCCAAACTGGTTTGGATTTACAGAATGGTTGCTTGCAGCCATATTGAAAGTGGTTGCTTGCAACCTTGTTAATTTAAACTGCTCAACTATAAAGCTTGCATAAGATAAAAGCTTTAAAAGATAATTTTTACAGTTTAAGTAAAAAATTGTAATCGTAATTGTTAAATAAAAATTGTAATGTAGAGAACTGTTGATTATTGTTTAATATTGTATAGTCAATTTAATAAAATTCAACTTGTGTGCAATTAAATGCAGTAAAACGTTTTTCCTTTGGGAAATGAACTAACAAATTGAAATGTGATTCTTTTTAATAATTTTATATATGTAAAATATAAAATATTAAAGTTTAGCTTTATTTTTGAAATTTTAGATTATAAATATCAAATGAAATGAACTAACAAATTGAAATGTGATTCTTTTTAATAATTTTATATATGTAAAATATAAAATAATAAAGTTTAGCTTTATTTTTCAAATTTTAGATTATATAATATACACTTTTCTATCTTACCAAAAGCAAATCTCCATTTGGACACCAATTCATGCACATTAAAATATTTCCAATCAAAATGAATGCCTTAAAAAATAAACAAAGGAAAAAAGTTGATAATATTTAAAAAAACAAACATTTTTTGCAATACATAGAACTTTTATTAAAACCCTACATGCAACACATTGAATATTAGCTAAAATTACAGAGCTTTATTTAAAACACATAGAGCATATAAAACATAACTTATAACATATGGAACATATAAAAACATATTTAAAGCATAACTTAAAACATATAAAATATCATTTGAAATAACAAGCTACAAAAATAACATAAAAAACATTTGAAAACCACATAGCAGCATGCTATTCCAATGTTTGACAATAAAGACAAATAATTTTGTTTCAGTTGTTTAAAAACAACTTCTTTTTTTCTAGATTTTTCTAAACCATTGGAGAATACAAGCTTAGCAGGCTTTATCAAAAGTCTTTGATATGTCAAGAGCAATAACTCTACACTTACCTATTTATGGCATGATAAAAACTTTTTGTTAATAGGGTTAACAATGATGACTTTAACAATTAAAATACTTAGGACAATAAATATGGAATTTTTAATGAGACTTTTATGTTCACAAGATACTTAACAAGTTACAAGATAAAAAGCAATTCACAAGATACAAAACAATTCACAAAATACAAAGCATCTCACAAGATACAAAACAATTAACAAGTTACAAAACAATTCACAAAGTACAAAATAATTCACAAGATACATAACAATTCACAAGATATAAAACATCTCACAAGACACAAAACAATTCACAAGATACAAAACAATTCACAAGTTACATAACAGTTCTATGTATAGTATCATCAATTGATGATATTTATTTTACTATGTTTATTATTATTTGAATTTATTTAGTTGTCTGCTATTTATTGCCTAAATACTTATGACTACATAAATACAGACCAAAAAACATTACATAAACATAAATTTATGCAAGCTTAAGGGTAGCTGATAAAAACATTTCATACACTTTGATAATGCATTAAACTAAAATAATACATACCCACATTAAATACTGACTTTTATCTGCTACATACAAAGCAAAAAAGAGGAAAGGGATTGCTCCTAATATTCCATAAGCACACACAAGAGAGTCAGCTTTTATGTTTGTTTTTTTCCATCGACGAGCTATTTCTGCACCAATGGCAACTCCAACAACTCCAGCCACAAATGTAATAATTCCAAATATCCAACTAACATCTTGAATTGTATCCTTAGTATTATTTTTAAGCTTATGCAATGAGTACAATGCAAAATCTGGTGCCCACCAAGCCAAGGCGCCAACAACAAAGGAAATACAAGTAAACCCAGCGGTAGACCATACAAAACTGGGGCTATATTTAAAAAATAAATGATTATAAAGTATATAAATTTAAAAAAACAAAATTACAAAATATGAAACTGAAACTTTAACAAGATATAGAACTAATAATGGAATAGTCAAAATCAAAAAAAAATTCAACAAAAAAATTCAACAAGCAAAAAATTCAACAAGCAAAAATATAAGATCAGGATCATAGGAAATAACTAACATAAATATACAATAAATGAGCTTTGGTGTATACAATAATTGATAAAACCTTGGCATATACAAAATGATTTGGTTTATATAAGTACGGAGGAGATTTGGTTTGGTTTATATAAGTACGGAGGAGATTTGGTTTGGTTATGAAGGAGAAAAAGGAGGATTATGAGGTGTACATTTCAAAAGATTCGGAAACACCATTTAAATAATGCACTAAATAAAGAAAATCAAAGCTAGGCTAGATCAAACACACTTTTAAATAACTAGACAAAAAGATGACACAACTATCATTCATTGGTTTATTCAAATTTGAAAGTAGTAACTTATTTAAATATGGAGCGAACATCTGGAATCCACATCTGGAATCCACATCAGTAGGACAAAGATAAGAGTAGTAAACTTTTAATTAGGAATTAATTTTAAAACTTTTAATTATAATTAGGAAGTGAAATTCTAGTAGCTCATTACTTAATAGTAATGAGCTACTAGAATTAAAAGTTTGTGAAGTCACAAAGAAAGCTTACTACTGTTGAAGAAAAAAAAGACATCATCTGATATAAATATTCGCATAATATGTTTAAATATGTAAAGAGCATGTTATAAATTTTCACTAACAACAGGTTTGGTCAGGATGCGGGTACAATTACACTCTATTTCTGACCACACATATAATATTAAGTTGCAACAACTTGACCACAGATTTTTAGATATTTTGAGAACATTCAAATTTATGTATGTTTCCATGTATGTCTGAAAAATTAAGTTTCAACATGCTAAAAAAAAAATTAACTTCATAACATTAATCTTTTGTAATCAAATGTTTTTATATTAGCTTTTAAACAAAGAGACAGTTTTAATTTATTGGTTGTTTAAAAAAAATAATTTAATTATATGAAGTTGAGTAAGTTTAATTAAAAACTTTATAAAGTTTAGTCAATATAAAAAAATAAATTAATTTTTTATTTAAATATAAATCTTTCAAAACAATTTGCTTGAAAACATTTTTTATCTTTTTAGTTTAATCATAAAAGTTTGCTTTCAAATTATTTTATGCAATAAAATTTTAATTTTGCAAAATACATAATAAAATCTCACTTAAAATGTTATACACTCATTATATATTAATTTATATTATAGAAAAATAAACCAATTAAGTAACTATTATAGAATAATAAGTCGATAGACTTAAAGGTATCCCAAAGTGCCATCCCATATCCTATTGCCTTCATATTAAGGAGAATGATAAAAAAAAATGTTTAAGCTGAATTTTTTTTGAGTATAACAAAATAATAAACGTATACCAAGAAAAACTTTGTTGCTTTACTCAAAGCTTGCCATCTCCATGTTAGCCAGTTACTTTGTGTCTTTAAAATATATGCCCCAATCTACAGACTTTATAATTTATTCAAGCATGTTCAATTCCAAAGTATTTTAGTGAAGACATGTTGAATTTCGATAAGAAGCCTAAAAATTTTTTTTTTCCTCAAACTATAGAGTTTTTTTTTTATATAGATTACTAGAGAATTTGTTTACTTACTTATTATGTATTAAGTTTTTTTTCATAATAAATTACTATAGAATTTCTATTGTTATTTTATTTTCTAAATTTCACAAAGTTTGCATTAAAAATATGAATAAAATATTTCAGATATTTTAATCTTGTCTATTGCTATAAATTATTTTGTGTTAAATTTATTAAATATGAATAAAATATTTCAGATATTTTAATCTTGTCTATTGCTATAAATTATTTTGTGTTAAATTTATTAAATATGAATAAAATATTTCAGATATTTTAATCTTGTCTATTGCTATAAATTATTTTGTGTTAAATTAAATGATTGTTATCCTTATTAAGATTCTGTTAAAAAAATTAATATTTTTTAAATTTTGACTGCAAGCTGCTGGTAGCAGCTTTCAAGTATACTTCACAATTTACCTTGTTTTGTACATACATTTTCATTCTAGACACATAATTTGTTCTTGTTCATAATTTGTTTGTTCTTAAAGTGTAATTAAATCTCTACATAATGAAGAACAAATAAAAGCCATTTTTAAAAAGTTGACTAAGTTAAAAAATCTTGAGTAATCCTTGATAAAAAAAACTTTAAATTTTGTTCTAAAATAAAAAACACTATTTAACTAGTTACAAAATAATTACGTAAGTCTTTTAGAAAAGTCTTTTAAATAAAAACTTTTTATACATTAAATGAGTTTTGGTTTAGACTAGCAATTTTATAAATAGTAACTTATGTTTTAGTTACTATTTACAAAAAGAATGGTTTTAAGTACTTTGCATTTCTTATTGTTTAATAATGCTTGTTAAAAACATATTTAATTGAAAAGTTCATTTGTTTAGCTTTCTATTGATATATAGTTTGTTATGCTTTGAAAGAGACTATTCGAATTTTAATTGCCAATATTATGCCATCCAAATTTTATTAAAAAAAATGTGTGGTTGCAGCAAAAATATTTTGTTAAAACAGCTGGTAGCAAAAGAGCTCATCTTATGAAAAATTAGTTGATGCATTTAAATTAAAAAATAGCATTTATATGCTAAACTTTTCATCAGGTAATATTTCCGAATTCTTATTTAATCATGCAAAAATATATTCTGTAAAACATGAATTGCTTATTTTATTTTATTTTTAAAATTGAACAATTATTAGTCAGGATTGCAAAAAAGTGTAGCATTATCGAGTAATTTTTAAAAATGAAATCGTTCGATGAAAAACTTTATATTGCCAATTTTGATATTTTTTTGATTTGTAAATTTAAGGTTTTAATGTAAAATACTTGCCAAATACAACACATACAAATACAACACATACAAATACAACACATACAAATTCAACACATACAAATACAACACATACAAATACAACACATGCAAATACAACACATACAAATAAAACACATACAAATACAACACATACAAATACAACACATACAAATACAACACATACAAATACAACACATACAAATACAACACATACAAATACAACATAAATTAAATTTGTAAAATATTAAACTTAGTGTTTTTTAACGCAGACTGCAACACATTGACAATTTTAATCGCCATCTATCTTGAATTATCGCCATAAAACATTATTTATTACTTTAATTAATAAAAAGCTGTCTGTAAATATGTTAAGTGTAAAATCTATAAATATTTTTTAATAATAATACTGTAATTTAATAGTTAATAGTTAATAGTAGTCGACATCATTTTAAAGTAGTTTCTAGGCTTTTCTATACGCGGTTCTATATTCTACGCAGTCTTTCAAACAAGGTCTGCAAGCAAATTAGAGTTGATATATTTTTATTTTTAAGAAGAATTGATGTTGTTCATTGTTCAATTTTACAACAAAAATCTAAATATTTGTTTGTTTGTTGTTGGTTGTTTTTATTTTTCTAATTTTCACAGACTGTTTTCTTTTTTTAGAAGGAGTTAGAACAAAAATGACTGGTAAAGTAGTTTTTTTATTAGCACTAAAAATCTTTAAAAATATTTTAAGCAGGTTTTGTTTTATTTTTTATAGCAATTGGAAAGAGTTGAATTGCTTTTTAGGTACATTAACTTACTTTATTGTTATTTTTTGTTATTAGAAGAGTTAATAAAAGTAAACGCTTTTAGACAGTCAAATTGATTCTGAATAATTCAATATTAGAAAATTTCAATACTGTATTTGCAGAGCTCGCTATTCAGTTTTATTTTAAATTGGAATTTTATTCCAATTTAAAATAAAACTGATAAGATTAAAAGTTAAATAAAATAATTTGTTTGCGGACGTTTGTTTGTGGACGGTTGTTTGTGGACGTTTATTTGTGAACGGTTGTTTGTGGACATTTGTTTGTGGACGTTTGTGTAAGTTTGTATACATAAATTTCATTATATTTTATATTTCTCTGTATCTATAATATAGACTTTATGTATATTTTCTCTTAGAAAAAATAATAAGGAATAAACAAAGTAAAATAAATTCTGCTGAAGGTTGTCAAAAAAAATGTTGTGTTATGCTTCTTTTTAAGGTATCTTTTTAAGGTAATATATATTTATTAGAAACTTTTGAACTTGTTCTTAAATGGCTTCATCTTTTTTATTACTTTAGATAAAAATATACTGACTGACATTGCTTCATTTTTATTAACAATGTTGTGGATTGTAGTATGCGTTCTTTGTTTACATTAAAAATAATTGATACTAATAAGTGTTGTTTTATATATTAGATAAATTTAAGTTCATTTCATAAACAGTTGGTATTTTATTTTATTTTTATTTTCAGTTTTTTTTTTATTTTGTAAATTATATACTTATATATCTATATAAACTTATAAAAAGATTTAAATAATTTCTTAAATCAAACTATTATAGGTTTTTATTTTAAAAATTGTTATTTTGAATAATTAAATTATTTTAATTTTTAACCTCAGTGGTAAACCAGTGGTTAAACTAATGAGTTAAATTGTAGATGTTTATATATAATATATATATACTAAAGTAATTGCGTTTGATTTTTTTTAAATATATGGCTTTGCATAAGACATTTTGATTTTTTTTGTTTTTGCTCTTAAAGAGTTTTTAAAATAGTTTTAAATCATTATATAAAATTGTTTTATAGATAAGAACAAAGTTTAACATTGTATTTTTTTTAATATTAACTAAATAACATCTTTGTTATTAGGATTGCAGATTTTTGTTGATTTTTACTTGATTATTATTACCTTTTTTTACTTGATTTCACCACTTTTAATATTTTTATTTAATTTATAACATATATTTTAAATTAATTTATAACATATATATTC